GTGGGGAGGAGGGGTGCGAGGGTGCGCCTGTGAGTGTGTGTATGTGAGTGTGTGAGCTCGCGCGGGAGCGGGGGGGGGGTCGCGGAAAGCGGGAACACATTATGCAAATGTTGGAGGAATTTCTCAAAAAGCGATTTAGTAAAGACACAGGCGAATCAAGAGGAGGCGAGGCCGGTATTGTCCGTCTGAATAGGCGCTGATAGCGCCGATGCGCCGGGGGTTGAGCGGGCGCAACGCTGAGAATCCCGGCACGGGGCCGGTCCCGGGCGCGCCGAGCTGCTGGAGGGTGCTTTTTCCTCCTCTTGGACGCCTCTCTTTTCTCTTTTTTGGTCCCGTTTCGCCCCCGATTTCGCTCCCGTTTGCTCTGGGTTTCCCTCCGACTGGCCCTCGAAAGGCGCCCAACTCCGCGTCAACATCGCGGCTTCAATTTCGCGGCGCGTGTCGGGCGGGCTGGTCGATGCTCCCCGCGCTCCGGGTTTTATTTTCCGCAACCACCCCCCATCTCCTTTTTATTTTCTTTCTTTCTTTCTCTCTTTTCTTCTTTTTGCATTTTGTGCCGAGAGGAGGAGAAGGGAGCGAGGAAGGGGGGTGGGTGGAGAGAGAAAAATTCGATTTTTAATTACTACCATTAAAAAATCAAATTTGCAATTCTTTGGGCGGCCTGATGGATCTCACTGATTGACAGTTGGAATTGACACTCTGGCTACCTCTTATCTTGGGCATTCACGACAATTTCTAATTGCAGGTAGTTTGTGTGTGTGCGCGTGTTTTTTTTTTCCCCCTCAGAGGCTTGGATTGCAAGGGAACTAAGCGATTACTTCAAGAGCCACGGGTTAAGTGCAGGGAGAGGGGGAGAGAGAGGGAAAAAATCCAATCCAAATTCAAATTGCTTCATTAGAGAGACACCGCTTTTGTGGGGAAGGGCTTTAAATGCCCACTACAAAGTTAGGACTCATTGTTCGGCGCCGGTTTATATAACAGGCGCGGGGAGGCGCTGGGCTCAGGCTGCGCCGAGCCAGTTCAGCAGCCGCCGCCGCCTGCGTTCCCTCCCCCTCCCCCAGGTGATGGCCCAGCCAGGGTCCGGCAGCAAAGCGACCACCCGCTGTCTTGAAGGGACCGCGCCGCCCGCCATGGTGAGTCCGTTTGGCCCTCCCTTCGGTCTCCAGTCCCCCGCCGGTCCGGCCCTGGGGACCTAGCCAGGCTTTCCGGTCGCTAGCTGCTGCCAGTGCGCCGGGGGACTCCCGGCGGGCGCCGCCCCTCTCTGAGCCTCGGTTTTGCGGCCCGGAATGTGGGCTTTGACCACTCCACAGAACGCGCGTGTTAAAAGTTGGGGCCGCCCCTTCCTATCGAATAGGCCCTGCTATGCCTGCCCTCCAGCCTGCTACGCGGCGTCCCGAAGAGATTTCGTTGTCAGTCGGTGCGCCGGGGCCCCGGATTTGTCCCCGAGGCAGCAGCGGCTCTGGGTGCCCGACTCATCGCTCCCCTCTCGTTCTCTCCCCCACCGCAGGCCCAGTCGGACGCCGAGGCCCTGGCAGGAGCTCTGGACAAGGACGAGGGTCGGGCCTCGCCATGTACACCCAGCACACCGTCTGTCTGCTCGCCGCCCTCTGCCGCCTCCTCGGTGCAGTCCGCCGGCAAGAACATCTGCTCCAGCTGCGGCCTCGAGATCCTGGACCGATATCTGCTCAAGGTGAGACGGGACAGGTGTTGCACGTGTTGGCGGGGTGTGGGGTTGCAGCCCAGAGGACTGCAGGGAAGCGCCGCCCGCGCCAGGTCCACTTAATTCCGAATCCAGGCTCGAATGCTGACCGACTCGGCAGTTCTGGGCAAGTCTTAGGGTCTCTCTGAGCCCCCGGGTTCTGTCTGAAAAATGGGCAGAATATGTTTCTATTTCCCCGAGTTTCGGTGTGACAGAAGAAAAATAGGGGAGTCACATGCACCTTCTGAGCTCCAGCGTCTCTGACTGCAAGTGGGGCTGGGGAGGCTGGGGCCGGGCGAGAAAGAGGCCCGCGCTGAGCCGACCCCCATCCCCGGCCCCTCCCCAGGTCAACAACCTCATCTGGCACGTGCGGTGCCTCGAGTGCTCCGTCTGTCGCACCTCGCTGAGGCAGCAGAACAGCTGCTACATCAAGAACAAGGAAATCTTCTGCAAGATGGACTACTTCAGGTAGGCTGCGGCCGCCGGGCCAGCAGTGTCGCCGCGGGCAGGTCCTGGGCGCCTTCGAGGTCACCTTTGCGGCGTGCGGTCCTCGGCTCCAGCGTCCTGGCGTCGCCCGGGGCACTTCCGGAGCTTCCCGCGGGCCCAGCCCGCCGGCTCCCTGCGCAGCGAACCCAGAGCTTCAGGCCGCGCGCGCTGGTGTCTGCACGGGTTCGGGCCCGCGATCCGCCTCCAGTGCCCGCGGCCCAACGGGTTTCCGTCGCGTCTCTCGCTCGGTCTCTGGTCCCGCCTGAGTTTCAGGCTCCAGTTCCGCCCTCGGGCGCCGGGTCGAGCTCTGACGTCCCCGGTTCTGGTCCAGCCCGCTCGAAAACCTCCATCCAGCTGCATTTCCAGTGCACTCGGTTCTGGGTGCCAACCCTACTCGGACTCTAATTGTGCTGGGATCTCTCCTGGGCCGGACCTTGCGCTGGGCTCGGGACTCTTGCCCCGGTTCCGACTTGGGCTTCTCTCTGGGTTCGGGTCTGACCCAGTCCCACGGACCAGCGCCGCATCCATCTCAGATCTGATCCCATATCCTCGTACTAAACCCCAACCTCGGTCTCTGACTCCGCCTCAGCTCGCCGCATTTCAGGTCTGGGGTCCCGCGCGGGCTCTAGGCGTCTGCTCCAGTCCCAGCTTCGCTGTCGTTTCCGACCCCGGCTTCGGCCTCTCCCGGGTCGAACCTCTGACTTTGGGCCGCTGGGATGGCAAGAGGAGAGTTGGGCGCCACAGCCTGAGCACTGGGGCTGCACTCTGCGCGCTGCAGGCGGCGTCCCGGCAGCTCACCGCAGCCGCGGGTCGCACCCTCCCGCCGCGCTCTCGCGTCTCAGCCGCTTGCCAGGGCGTTGTCGCTTCTAGCCTTGCGGCCCGGGCCTGACCTAGTCATGGGGTCGAGGTCACTGCAGGGCCACGGGCGCCGCGGCCATCCATCCGTCTGATCCCCACGGGAAGCATGAGCCAGGCCTGAGGCCCAACCACCGGGCCTTATGGAGTCCGAGGAGAATGGAGTGGAATGGATTTCTGGGTTCCCAAGTGCTTTCTCAGGAAGTGGAGAAAGCTGCTGCCCTCTAACCACCACCTCACAACACACAGACACCGTTTCCATCCTTGCATCATCATGACTTAAGTCTTCCTGGGTAGACTCTTGCTTCAGAGAGAGCCTCTGAGAGTCAGGGAATATGGTGGAGGGCAATGGCCCCTCCTCACCCCTGGTTTTGAGCTTCTGGGAACCTGGAAAGAAAGGATCTTGGGTCTAGAGGGAAGTTTGCAGCACTTTGGGTTAGTGCACTCTGAGAAAGGGGTGGGGAGCAAGGTTAAAGAGGCAGACTCTTCCTTTATGTGAGGGGTGCGAATGAGTGTGTGCCTGGGACATGGGGGGGGCTCAACCAGGTGACCCAGGATTCAGTGTGCAAGGAGCGTATGTGTGTCTTTATTGTCTGGAATCTGTGCAGTGGGGCTGGGGAATTCATCATTGACGAAGGTCAGGGATGTGTAGACAGTGTATGTCCCTTTATGGACAAACATTTGTCTTTCAGTTCACATGTGGGTGCCAAGAGTATGTGTCTATGGTGCATGTTAAGACTGTGTATGTGTGTGTGTGTGTGTGTGTGTGTGTGTGTGTGTGTGTGTGTAGAGTGGTCAAGACTGGGATCTGGAGGTGGGAAGGGGAGGGAATCGGGAATCAAGGGGATTCTGAAGTCCCATAATCCTCACACCCACTCTCTCCTCCGAAGGGGCATTCTTGTTTAAGGCCCTCCATCCAGGCACTAAGGGATTAAAGGTGTGATGTGAATGTGTATTTGGGGATGTGGACTGCTGTGTGTGCATAGACAGAAGGGGGTTATAATTATGTGGTGTGCAACCCAAGTGTGATGTCTCCTCCCACCATCCCATAAGACTGTTGCTTTGGCCCTGGCAGGAAATGGAAGTTAGAGTCACTGTCTAGCCACCTCCCTGCGCTAGGCCTGACTCTACTTGGTAGACAACAAGCCAGCTGTTGCTTGTGGGCTCCTTGGATTCATTAGCTGCCAGGTTCAGGGCTCCAGCTTGAGCAAGATGGTGTCTGGGCCTCTCCTATACAGTAGGGCAGGGCAGGACACCTCTCCTAGCTCTCCTGGTGACAACAGACTTGGCAGTTTTATTCACCACTTGCCCAGATTTCTTTCTTGCTTCTCCAGGCCCAGCTCATGTCCATGCTGAACCAAGCCTCCTTGGATACTGTGCTTTACTAGACCTTGAAACTAGTCAAAACTCAGACCCTGACTCTGTTCAGAGCCTCCATTAATTCCAGAGTCCCCTTTCCCACTGCAGTGGAGTACAGTATAGTATGTGCAGCCATTGTAAGGAGAGGCAAGAGACTGGGCTCAGTCAGGCCAATTGTGACCTTGGGCAAGTTGCTGGATCTCTCTGCCTTTAGTCCTCCCTTTTCATGGCTATCTCCCTGAGCTGCCAAGGAGGTCACTGTTGGGGGAAATCTCTGTAAATCCTCCCTAAGTGACAGTTGATAAGAATGCTCGCTGATCACCATTGTCACCTTGGTAGGGTGGATGCCAGGTACAAGCCTATGATAGCACTTCTCCAGGTGGCTTGAGGAGCAGGCCTGCCTGGAGCGGTGGGGCTGGGCCATTTCTGGGTTGCAGGTTCTAAGCACTAATTATCTTCCAGACAAGAGCCTGAAAGCAAAACCAAACCAGATTTCTGGTTAAGAAAATGGAAGCAACAAAAGCTCACATTCCCTGGGTTGAGGGTAGAATCGTGGCTCTTCTGATCATTTCTCCCCATTCCAGTTCTCCCTGCAGGCATAACCCATCCCTGGCAGCCCCACCTGTAACAAAAATAATAAAACCCACAAAAAGGGAAAGAAAAACCCGGCTGGGCCCTAGGCAAGGATTATTGTGTGTGCTGTACTGCAGCCCAGGCTCTAGGTGGCTGCTAGGAGGAAGCTCTTCCTGAGGAGAGCATGAAGCCTGGCTGTGGAAGGCAGAGTTTCCCTCTCAAGAGCCAGGGCTCAGGGAAGGATCATGTGTTGGAATTCTCTCGGCTTTTTTTCCCCTGAAACCCAAGAACAATGGTCTAGCGGGATGTGGACTAAAGCCCTCTGCCCAAAGACAGGCCAAGAACGTGAGGCGTGGGAGGAAGGGAGTGGCCAAGACCCTTTGGAAAATGAACTTGGGGGTTCCACGGTCCTCTAACCTCTGGTCTTTCCCACCAGAGAAGGGGGTCTCCTCAATTCTATGCCTTATCTAGTCTCTCCTTGACATCGTCTTATAGACCCTCCTTCAGTCTTCATTGGCAGAGCTAGCATTGGTGGCTCTGGAAGCTAGAGGTTAGGAAGGAACTCCAAGTTCACCGGGGACCAGGGAGGGAGGCTGAGAGCATAGGGGGAGAAGGGTCAGGGAAGTCTAGAGCTGCTCCTGGCTCATTTACATTGTAGGGAGGAGTTGTTTCTCCACTGATTTGTGTCCTTGGCTAGGACACTGGACCTCTCTGCCTCAGTTTCTCCAATTCACACTCCACACAGGGTCCTTACCAACCCTTATGGGTTCAGTCAGATCCCTACCTTCCCTCATTCCTTGAGGTTTCTAGCAGAAAAAAACTACCACCAGGGAAATGTTGGAAATGTGATAGGGCTTTTACTTTCTTTTTTGTCAAGACCATTTTTCTTTCTATTTTTTTCCAAGAAGTGAAGAACATTCTGGGGGAAGAAATGGTGTTCTTTCTGGGGCATTCACATTTCCACTGCCCCCAGCGACCACAACCCCAGACAGCTTCCCATAGCCCCCTCCACTTACCTACCTGTAGCTAGTCCCCATAAATAGGACATGGCCTAATCTGCAGTGCCCTTCTGGCTCCCTTAGACTCCTGGACCATCATGCCCATTGTAGAGTTGGGGAGACCGATGTCCTGGGAAAGTGAACAGTGTCATGCTCAGGGTCACACAGTGAGAGGGGACATAGAGGAGGGACTGAGGACACCCATCATCAGAATGTGTGGTGCTCTTTTCTAAGCCAGGAACTGGGCTACTGCTTGATCTCATTCAATCATCAGGTCCACCTTGTGCACAAGATACTCTCATAATCCCCCTTTGCAGGGGAGGGAAACAGAGGCCCTGAGAGGTGAGGTCATACTGCTGAATGGATAGACCTGGATAAACCCTACAGCTACCTGACTCTACCATCTTTCCACCTAAACACCCCTATGCTTCACTATGGGCAAGATATATCAGCCACCCCTCTGTGCATTTGTGGGACTGTGGTATGGCAAAGATCCCTCTCTGCTGGTCCTAAGATTCCCTGCCCAGTTTGGTTGGCTTCACACAGGGAGCACCCACTGTGTGCCCCATGTGCGACTCTCCCTGGGTGGCCCTGGGAGCACTAGGGCAGGAGTGACCTCCTCAGAGGCCCTTGAGTGGAGCTTTGTCAGGGTCAGGTCTCTGTGATCCCAAGCCCTCCTGCCTTCTGACAATGGGAGTGGGGAGTAAAGGGTTAACTGCCTCCCCGTTTGTTTATGGAGGTAGGGGTTCAGAAAGTGCCCTGGAGACTAAAGTTCCTGTTCCCAGTTCGGTCCAAACGACTTAGGGCAAGCCCCCAGTCTTCTCTGGCCTTCTGTCTTGAACCCAAGCTCTGACCGCAGGCTCTAGCAGAAGAACCCCATCCCCTCCCCCAGAGTGAGGGTCCCAGGAGAGGCTCAGAGCCGGGAAGCGGCCCCCCACCGCGGCGGAGGGCGGCCCAGCAGCCGCCAGCTGTTGGGGGACAGATGTTGGGGTAGCTGAGTGGGGAGCTCGGGGGAGGGGCCTTGGACCGGGACCTCCAAGGCGCGGCGTGTTAACCTCTTAATTGCTGGTTCTGTTTTTTTCCTTCCCCGGCTTCTCCTCCTAGGGGTTTGCCTATAAGAGAAGGAATGGAAGGACTAGGAAGGGCTCCATCTCCAATCCACCTTGTTAACCTCTTAGGATCGCTCTAAGGCCATCAAGTGAGCGTCTTGAACCTAAAACAAGTGAACTCCTGTTTGAGTTTCAGGCCCTCGGCTAGTCGCTTCTTCACTAACATTGGCGTTCCCACTCTGCATGAGGAGCTTTGGTTTCCTTATGCAGAAAAGGGGTTGCTTAACAAGGGGAAAGGGTCGTGCTGAAACTCCGATGGGCTCATTCGTTGAGGCTCGTTGATCCAACCAATATTTACTTAGGGCCTACTAGGTATCGAGGTTAAGTAGGCCCGGAAAAGTGAGCCTGACTTGGATAGGGCGCAGAGCTCCATCCGCACAACCGCAAGTACCCAGATATCTGCGCTCCTGCTCAGGGAAAGACGGGCATGGCAGGCTTGCGGGCATGGCGGGCATAATGGTACGTGATGCCCACCCTCTTCCTTTCGGTTGCCAGGATGCGCAGTGTCTGTTGGACACCTCTCCCCATCTTCAAGGCGCCTTAGCCACGGCACGCTGGAATCTAGGGCGGTGCGCCCAAGGCCGGAACCTCACAGGCAGGCTAGGGTGGCAGTAGGCGCGCCCCCTGGTCCCTTTGGCGCTGTGGTCCCAGTCCCTGAACACCCCTTTCTTGAAGTTTCGTTGTCTCTTCCACGAATTTCGCTGCTTCCGGAATCCTCGTAGCCCTCCTGGGAAAGCGTGTGTCGTTTTGTCAGAGCCTCGATCTTATCTGCAAGCCTCTTCGCACCCTTTGTGCTACTGACCTGAGTGGGGGACACGCGGCCCGCAGCGCAACTAAATCTTCATAATGCTCTCTGCACCCACCCAAGGATCCAGTGCGATGACGATTTTGTAGACTGGGCAGAGCCACGGGGCGCGCAGGGAGATCCTAGGGCTGGGACAGCTCCCCTCATTTGGGGTGACACGCAGAGGGCGAGGAAGCTTCTAAGAGGTCACTTGCGGTGCCCGCCTTGGCGGCGTGGGGATGGGGGCACTGTGACCCTCCTGTGTAGGCGCAGGACGGACGCGGGCACTCACAGGGCAGGAAGGTCAGGAGATCGCGGGGAGCCCCAGACGCGTCCCTGGCAGAGGACGAAGTCCCGAAACCCCGCGCGAAGAGTCCGGGACTGCACACTCGGGCGCAGTGCTCCAAGACCACAGGCCCGAGACTCGGCCGCTCTCGCCCGGTCTCTGAAGAGCCAAGACCTTCCCTGCGCGAGATCTGCCGGCTCCCTGAGGACGCACTCCACTCCTTCTGGCGTGCCTCCTGGCCAGGCGCGCAGCAGCTGCCAGAACCCTCATCCCCGAGCGAGGACGCGGCGCCGCCCGACCAGGCCCCCATCCTGCGCATCTTCCCGGGATCCCAGCTCTCTTCATCTGCAGACCCGCTGCTCCGTCGGTTCTAGGCACCTTTTTTGCATCTTGGAAGGGCCTCAACTCCGGCCCTACTCTCTGTGTGGTCTCTGGCAAGTCATTAGCCGCTTCTGAACCTTGGATTCCACGTATGAAAAACGGACGCCAGAATCCCCACCTCACCGAACTGCGACCAAGCCAAAGGTCCTGCGTTGGGCCGCAGGATCCCAACCCGCGCGGCAAAAGCTCTGCTCTGCGCACGGCGAGCCGCCCCCTCCTCCTGCAGCGCAAACAATCTAAAGACAGCCTCCCCTCAGAGGCCAGAAAATGCTCCCAATCCGGATACCCCCAGCCGGGCGGCGGAACCCGGGGTCGGCCCTTCGGCGGGAGTAGACTGGTTTGGGCAAAGCGGTTTCCTTTCCACTTTAGTGCCGGCTTGGGAATAGAGGGTATGAGCTGCGCTGGGCTCTCCCCTGGGGAAGCTGCGTTTCCGAGGTTGGGAGTCAGCTCTGCTTAGGTGGGCGAGTGACTCGGCAAAGGTGTGCCGCGTGGCCTGAGTGAACCGCGCCTTTCGCGTAAGGTTCCTTTGCGCTCCCCGTGGGAGAGAGTGGCATCGGGGTGGCTTCTGGAAGCCGGGGCGGCGGAAGCCTCTGCGCTCCTGCACTCAGCACACCTCAACGCCGGTGTTTCAACCGGCACTCGCTTGAATTTGCCAACGCTGGTGAGGCTGTAACCAGAGTGTTTTTGCTGGGCTGTTGCCTCCTGCACACGCAGGCGTTTTCGAACGCACCCTTGGGTGCTGGCCCTGGGAGCACAGCGGCAAATCTTGGTTTCTCCACCCCTACCCCTCCCCACCACCTATGGGAAGGTGGAAGGGGACATTTACAAACCAGCGTGACCATTGCTGAGAGGTGGCGCTGGGAGCAGCCGGACTCCGGGGGAGGATGTGTCCGGAGAGGGGGCAGTCAGGGCAAAGGTCTGGGGGTGGGACGTGCTCCAGAGGAGGCCTTAAAGACCGGAGACTGACCTTCCACTGTGGCTGACTGGGACTCATATTTGGGGTTGGGGCGGAGATCTTGAAGACTAGGGAGGAGATGGGCCTGGAGAGGATGTGGTCTATTGGGTTTTGTAAACCCCAAGGGTCTTGGACCAAATCCTGAGGATAGAGTGGAGCCACTATAGGATTTAAGCAGGGCAGGGATGGAATTCCATGTGTCTGCTGCAAACTCTGCTGTGACTGCTTCCTGGAGGATGAGTTGGCAAGGGCTAAGCTGGAAACAGAGAGGCCAGGGAGGAGGCTGGCAGTGAGGGGTGCATCATGGGAGCCTGGCCTAGGAGCAGCGCTGGAAACAGAGTGGAGGAGATGGATCCCAGAGATACTTGGGAAACAGTGCTACAGCGCCCAGTGATTGGTTGGATGTGGAGCTGAGGAGAGGGAGGAGTGCATGATTTAGATTTCCAAGCTTGAGGGGACTAGATGAGTGGTGGCACCATTCCCTGAAACAGAACGCTCACCAAAGGAAACTGAGGCTGCCAGTGTTGGGACACAATCACATGTGAGTCATTCCCTTAAAGAACAAACCTTCCCTGGTGCCCAAGGGTCAGGCCCTAAGCTGACTTCTGAGACAGTGTGAACCAGACTCTGCTGCTTCCTGGAGGGAATCCCAGTCTGGTGTTGAAGGCAGCTGCACCCAAGTCACCACACTGCATTCATCTGGTTAGATAGATGGGGGGGGGAATCTCCCCACCACACCACTACAAAATGGGGAGGGAGAAAGGGAAGAGGCAGAAGGAAGGAAGGCTTAAGGGGTAAGGGGACATTCCATCTGGGCTTTTTATTTTTGTCTTTTTAACACTGAGTATTAGAATGTCACCAGTTCCAGAGTCTGAAACTAGCTGGGTACTTAGTACAGTGCAAAACACTAAACAAACAGTAGTAGTCGTTGCTGTTGTTATGTAGTTCAGCTCAGGGCAAGGACAATGAGAACTCAGAGGAGAGTTCAACAATTTTCCCAGAGTCACAAAGCCAGTAAATATATATTTGTCTATTCTTAAAAAAAAAAAAAAAAGCAAAATAAAAAAAACCCTGAGCTTCTGAACAGCTGGGGCTGTACCTGCTACGAATCTCTGGAGTAGACTGGCTCTGGTTTCTATCTTTGCAAGCTGTGTGAGCCTGTGCATGTTAATTTACCTCTCTGGTCCCTATTTTCTTCACCTTCAAAATGTGATTAATTGGGATAATCAGCGTAAAACACTTAGGATCTTGCTGGGCAAGTGGTAAGTGCCCTCAAATTTGTGTATTATTACTATTATGTTTTTTCTAACACCTATGGTGTCTTTTAATGAACACATTAATATAATATACAAATGTGAGTGCTTATCATAGAAAATTCGGAAAACTCAGAAAAGCACCAACACAAATATAAACGTCACCCACCAGTTCACCTCCTAGGTGGGATTTATGTGTAGATCCAAGGAAAAGGTTATGCATGAGTGACCTTGGGGCCAGTAGGGGTTGGAGCCAGGAGGGATGGCTTGCCTAAGTCTCCCAACTCGGTCCCTGCTCTCTTGATCTGCAGCCGATTCGGAACCAAGTGTGCCCGGTGTGGGCGACAGATCTACGCCAGCGACTGGGTGCGGCGGGCGCGCGGCAACGCTTACCATCTGGCCTGCTTCGCCTGCTTCTCGTGCAAGCGCCAGCTGTCCACGGGCGAGGAGTTCGGCCTGGTCGAGGAGAAAGTGCTGTGCCGCATCCACTACGACACCATGATCGAGAACCTCAAGAGGGCTGCCGAGAACGGTACCCAATCTCCCCACCCGGCACCTCGTTCCCCAGCCCTTACCCATCCCGCCCCAGCCCCCGCCCCCCAACTGCCTACTCTACTCCACCTACTGGGCGCCCCCTACATCGCCAGGAGATAGAGTGGGGCTGCGCACACAGGTCTTGCGCTTCCGCCTCCACTATTTGGGCTTGGGAGTCAGAAGTCACTGCCCTTCTCTGCAACTATGTTTCCTTATCTGTAAAATGGGGCTAATGATAGAGCATTTTCTCAAAGACAGATGAGCTGATATGTTGTTTAAAGCCAGGAGGGACACAAGGAACCCTAGAGATGATTCTCATAATGGTGCAGCCCAGACCACTCCTCAGGGCCTGGAGGCTCATCCCCTCCAGCCGCCTGAATCCGAGTTTGGGCCAGTCCTGGAGAGATGACTGGCCCCCATTTCCCCAGTTCCTTTCTAGTAGCTCCAAGCCAGAGGTTTGAGGGTGGGGGTTTCATCCTGGACCAGAGTCTTTAATGGTAAGGGGAGAAGGTCAGGTTTCTTAGTCTGGAGACCAGGCTCCAGCGTGCTGTGCTGAGATATGACATATCTATCTTGCATCTGTGTAAGACAGATGTTGGACTAGAATGATTGCTAAATCTATTCTGGCTCTCATACTGTGATTTCTCAGATTGCCCAGGCAGCGGGTCCAGGCCTTCCAGGGATCCCGAAGGCTGAGTCACAGATGGGGTGGGGCTGGAGAAGGGGTTTGAAGGTTGGGCTGTGGGCAGAGGCAGGGACTCTTTCAGTAATTTCCTGTTAGGGTCTGTGGCTGCTGCTGACTTCTCTGTAACATGGATAATTTTATGTAATCTTTACAACAGCCCTAGGAAATAGGTGGTGTGCTCCCATTTCAAAGGAGAAGAAACAGGCGGACTTTATTTGTAGTATATGACTTGCCAAAGACTACATACTAGTAGTTTGCCTGATTCCTCATACCTGGCTTCTTATCCACCATATCATACCATAGCATCTCATCCCAAGGTCTAGGACCCTTTAATCAGACCTCATGAAGCTGAGTAGGCTATTGGGATGTGGCTGCCTCTATGAGTTTCAGTTTTCTGTCTAAAAAACGTGCATACCAATTCTTATCCTGTTTGTTTTCTTAGGGAACATTAATACATAGAGTGTCTGTCCCATCCTCAATTGCCCCTGGGGAGTAATATGGACCACTCTGCCTCAATTTCTAGACCTCAGCCTGGGACTAGTCAGAGATCACAAGCCAGTTCCTGTTCATGGTCACACTAGGACCAACATTTTCTCCTGCTAAGAACAGGGCTAAGTGGGTCTAAGTGGACAACAAGTGAACTTGGGGTACTATGAAGTTCTCTGCAGTGGCAGGCAAAACAGCAGTGGAAGGGGGATGGAAACCCAGGAGTCAGAGCTTCCCCATCGGTCCATCAGTCACCACAGGCTCCTCGCACACCTGGACCAACCAGGGCCAACCCTAGTTACAGCCTTGCCAATTATATCTTAGCTCTCACAGGCACACCTGACTCCAGGTTCCTACCATGCAGGAGAACTTGAAGGCTCAGGGCCTTAGATCCCTTCAGTGTTGGCTACTGTTTTACTGTTTAAACATAACACACAAACACATACACACTCATCATAGAAAAGTTAGAAAAGACGGTGAAGCAAAAAGAAGAAAACAAAGATCACTCAAATGCCATCTCTTCTCATATTTTAGTGTACATCTTTCAGATTTTTCTATGTATGTGTGGTTTTTTCCTTCAACTTTTTTTTATAATTAAAGATTTACAATAAATTGTGAAGAATGGTTATATCTGAATAGTGGAATTGCTGGTGATTTTTATTTTCTTCTTTGAGCCTATGGGAATTTTCTGAGATTTTGATAAGGACCACATATTACTGTTATATTCAGAAAGATGAAGTGTTAGATAAAAAAATCAATGGGACTATACTTAACATTTTAGTAAAATTGTAAAAGTAATATGAGACTAATTTACACTCTGGTTAACAAAATTAGACCTTAAAGAAAATGACATATGCTTGTTTGAAAAACCTCTAAAGCTACAGGAATACTGAAAGTAAAGAGTCTCCATAATGGTGCTCCTTGGAGGTAAACCACTACCAACACCTTAGTGTATATCCTTCCAGCCTTTTTTCTTCCACTCTTTTCTGAAAAGTTGGGATCACAGTTCTGTAGCCTGCTTGCTTCCTATCCCCACCAGCCTTTGGCTTCCTCCAGTTTAGCTAGGAGGGGAGGCCAGTTTGGGGTATTAGGATCAGCCAGATACCAGATCCTAGTTAAAAGCTCCGGGCAGGGCCTTTCTCTTCTCTGAGCCTGTTTCTTCTCATGTAAAATGAGGATAACACCACCTCTCCTAAGGCTATGAGGCTTAAAGAGTACACCGAAAAAGAAGCGCCCAGTACTGAGTGGACGCTCAGAAACAGACGTCTCTTCCCCAAAGACTCAACTCGGGGACTAGGACCCTGGGATCCCCGCTCCCAGCCAACTCCCGCTCCTAACCCTTCCAGGGACAAGCTCCCCCCACCCCCGTCCTTTCCAGGCTGCCACTAGAAGAGATGGGGACTCGTGATCAGCCGCTTCTATCGCCCCCAGGGAACGGCCTCACGTTGGAGGGGGCAGTGCCCTCGGAACAAGACAGTCAGCCCAAGCCGGCCAAGCGCGCGCGGACGTCCTTCACCGCGGAGCAGCTGCAGGTACCCCCGCAGGCCCAGGGCGGCCGTGGCTCGGGCGGGGCCTCGGAGTGGGCGGGGCTGAGCTCTCCTGGCTCCGCCCCTCCGCCCGAGCCCTCGGGTGGGGGGCTGGCGCTGGCGGGGGCGTGGCCTCTGGGCCGGAGCCTCTGATTGGGCCTGGGTCTCGGCGACCTCTGTGGGCCGACGCCTCACCGCCCTGCGGCGCCCCGCAGGTTATGCAGGCGCAGTTCGCGCAGGACAACAACCCCGACGCGCAGACGCTGCAGAAGCTAGCGGACATGACGGGCCTCAGCCGGAGAGTCATCCAGGTGGGACCGGCGGTGGGCGGGGCCTAGGGACCTGGGGCAAGCCCTGGAGCTCGCAGCCGGGCTCTCGAGCCGAGGGTCGGGGGTGCACGTGGCCACCCTTCTTCAGGAGGCGACGAGGCAGTCCCGCCTGGGGTCCCCTGGCGGCGCGTCGGACCCTCTTCCGCGAGGCTGAGGCTGCTGAGGCTGTCGTTCCAGGTGTGGTTTCAAAACTGCCGGGCGCGTCATAAAAAGCACACACCGCAGCACCCAGTGCCGCCCTCGGGGGCGCCCCCGTCCCGCCTCCCCTCCGCCCTCTCCGACGACATCCACTACTCCCCGTTCAGCAGCCCCGAGCGGGCGCGTATGGTCACCCTGCACGGCTACATTGAGAGTGAGTGATCGCGACACTGGGGGCCGCTGGGTCTGCGGGGAGGAGGGTGCGGAGGAACGCGCGTGGGCGTGGAGGCCGACGCGTGGAAAGGCCTTCCGGAGCTTCATGGGTGGAGATGTGGGCCCCGAAGTGCCCTGGACTTAGGGGTTGAGAGAATGCTCTGCCTCAGTGGGTCCCTTAGAAGAGGCAAGTGATTTAGCCATTCAAAAAATACTTTAAAAGCACCAGCTCCGTGCCAGGGCCCAGGGACTGGGGAGAGAACAAGATGGACAAGGTCCTAGCCCTGTGGAGCCTGCTTTCTAGGGGGCATGGAACAGTTACCAGACAGATGAGCGTGTGGTGTAATTGGATGGTTCCTATAGGAAAGGTGCCGGATGGGAATGTCTGAATATTCTGGGTGCCACGGGTCGGAAGAATGGGTAGGATCGAATGAAACACTTGGAGTGGGGAGCTGAATGGGGCAGGCCCTGGTGGAGAAAACATCTTGGCTTGGGTGCTTTTGGTGGAGCAGAAGGCCAGTGTGGTGGGAGCACCCAGGGCTGTGAAGTTGTGGGCAAATCACTTAACCTGGAGCCCTGGTTTCCTCATCTGTAACCAGAGGTGACAATAATGCCTACCTCACAGGGGCTGTGGAAATCATAATGCATTCAGTAAATATACGTTGAGTGCTTTCTGTGTTTTTCATGCTGGCATACAACAGTGAACACAATAGACCAAAGCTGCTGTGTTCCTAAGGGCTTGTATTCCACAGTGGGAGATGAATGAAGAGACAGTACACTCAGAAAGAAGGGCGACAGTGCGCCGCATGGGAAGGATTCAGGGGCGGGTCAAGGTGAAATGATCTTTGGGCAGGAACCTGGAGGAGTGAGGGATCAGCTTGGGGCGTTTCTGGGAAATGAGCATTCAGCTACTGAGCAGGTGCTTATCACAGATTTTCTTTCTCTTTGAGGTTGTTTCCATTCATTTTTTCCTCAAAGCTGGGCATGATAAAAAAATAGAAGTGACCACAACACACACACACACACACACACACACACACACACACACACACACACTCACACAAATCCTCCCTTCTCTGACTCCAAGTAAAAGGGAAAACGAAGTCGGAGAACTGTTGCTTGGCCACTTGCCCTGTGTCAGATACCATACTGACTGTGTCTCTAAACGTTGGCAGTCACTAACCCATTGAATGATGAGGAAACCAAGAGCCCACTGTAAGTTAGTGGAAGCCACTATTTTTTAATGATCTAGTATGAGCTTTGGTGTCAGACTGCTGGGCTTCAAATTCCAGCTATGCCACTTACTAGCTTGTGACACTGGGCAAGTTTCTTAGCTTCCCTTCATACTAGTTCCCTCATCTGTAAAAAATGAGGACAAGAGTACCTGTCTCAAAGCAGTGTTGTGAGCATCAAATGAGATTAGTGATTTAAAGTCTTCAACATTTAGCAAGTGCTGGATAAGTATTAGCCATTCTTGTTATGTGGTAGTGGTTTTGATTGGCAGAACTAGGAGTAGACTCCTGTCTACTGCACCAGGCTGCCAGTTGGAAACCGTATGTGTTTATACAGTTCCATTTCTGACCCATCTGCTCAGTAGGAGGACTGTTTACCCTCTTTCTTTTCTGAACAAATGACTGATGTTCAGGTGACACAGAGCCTAGTAAACGCCTGCTAACGGTACCAAGGACCAGGAATTCTATAGGTACCAGGGATCTGGGCTGCCAGTAATATTTGATATGGTAGATCTAAATGACCCCCTTGGAAGTAGAACCATGGTTTCCAGAGGTCCTTCCAGGACTCTGTCCATATATATGACAAGCCCAGCTCTGTCTGTCATGTCTAGAGAAGGGGCTGAGGTACCCTCTCCTCTTCCCCTTGCAGTGGAACCCAGCTTGGGGCAGAAGATGTTGGGGGGTGTCTGGACCTGCCACTTCCTGCTGCAAGACTGAAGGTCGCCTCAGCAATTTGCTTTATAGTTAACAAAAGTCAATAGTCTTGAATTTTCTGGAACCTTAGAGCCGAGAAGCTAATGAAAGTGTTAGAACCAGACCCTCCCCCCTAAATTTACAGACACAGTTTTCCAAATAATTTGAGGCTATTTATGGACTCCTCAAACACCCTCAGCTAAGAGCCTCCAATTTAATACAACTGGTTTATTCTTTAGATGAGAGAACTGTGGCTCAAAAAGGCACAGTTACTTGTCCCAAGTTACATATCAATTGTAAGTCTCTGTATAGAGCTCTTTCCCTGTGACCAAAGAGAATGAAGTCTAGAGGAGACAGGCAACGGACTGCCCCACCATAGTGGTAAATAGGCTGAAGCATGAGGAATTTGAATCAGACACAAAAATGGACTTTTCCCAGCACTTTTAGGTATTGGAATGGAGTATGGAAATTCATTCAAAACATTTTAAAGGGTACCTACGAGATGCCATGTCTCATTCTAGATACTGGAAATCCACAAAGATCTAGAATCTAGAAAACAGATGAAAATTCCTGCCCTCATGGAGCTTGCATTCTGGCAAAGACAGATAATATTAGATAAACAGTAATAATATGCAGTAAGTCAGATGATAAGGACAGTAAGGGCTGGGATAGGTGTTGGTGCAGAGTCCCCTCGGAGGCCTGGGGTATAGTTGTAGTGATATCTGGGAGGTAAGAAGTATAAGGTGCCAAGGCAGGATTTGAATAAATAGGGTACAACCTTGATTGCAGGGGATGTTCAATACATATTCATTTAGGAGTGTTTGTTTATCAGTGAGCTAGACAGTTATACCTGGCCGTCAGCCACACAGCACTTTCTAGATTATAAAGACCTTCATACAACATCACAACAAACACCACTGAAATCTTGTCCAGGGCTGCCTAGGAGGTAAGTGGCAGAGACAAAACTGGTCTTGGGGCTCCACCTTGCAGAGAACAGACAGGTGGGACCCTGCGTGCAGCTGGGGGATGGGCTCCAAGGCATCCTCTCGTCCACAGGTCAGGTACAGTGCGGGCAGGTGCACTGCCGACTGCCTTACACCGCACCCCCCGTCCACCTCAAAGCCGATATGGATGGGCCGCTCTCCAGCCGGGGTGAGAAGGTAAATGGAGCCAGGCTGGGTCTGGTGGGTCAGAGCCATCCTGCCAGGGATGGGTTTCTGGCAGCATTCCCCATTGTTGATTGGGCACTGTGCTGCTTTGTGGCAGGCCTTTTTTGCACAGCCTGCTCAGGCCCCCATGGCAGTCACTCAAGCAGCTGCTGGTGTGTTCTGTGTGCAGTCACTCCAAAGGTCTCCTGGCAGCCCCCCACTGACAGTTTAGCCCTGTGTTTTTCAAATTTGTGAGTTTACTTAAACTCTGAGGTCCCGGGGAGGGCTTATATCACACATCACCTACCTCCTGTCATCTCACTGGTTCCTCCTCTTCATCTTTTTCATTCTTGTCTGTGAATTGAGCTGGCGGAGCTGAGGGATAGTGGGCCAGCCAGTGACCTTGATCAACTGGCAGAGCCTCTTCTGTAGAACCAGGATCTCTGGTTGTCTCAGGCATTAGGACTGACCATCCAAGAAGGGTTCATAAACACTCAGTACAGCGGCTTGAAGGCATTGTTTGCTAAGCCCAGCAGCCTTTTGTTTAATCATTTCCATAATGGAAATGACAGTGCACAGAGCTACTCTGGTGAATCCATGGCAGGGGTAGAAGCCTCTCCTCCTTCCCAGCCCCCATACACCTCACAGTTAGTCTTGAAAGCCACTGTTCCATTTAGAAATGGAAAAATTGAGGTCTAGATAGCTCAAGATCAGAGCCTGGATGGGAACATGTGCATTTATCCATTCACATAATAATGAATGAAATAATGAATATCATCTACCCAGAGACATTTTCCACCTACTCACTGTGCCCAGCAGCTCTGTGTTTGTTGTCAGGAGCACAGAGATGAGGAAAGCATGGTCCCTGCCCTTGAGGAGGCCACAGTCTGGAGGAGGAGACAGACCCAACAGCTACAACACAATGTGATCAAACTGTGATGGGGGAAGCCATGGCAGCTGGGAAGCTGGTGAAGAGCAAAGGAGAAATGCAGAGAAGACTTCCCAGAGGAAGACAGTCTCTAAGCCTAGGCCTAAAAACTGAATCAGAATTTGTTAGAGAAGGCATGAGCCATCGTGGCTGTCAGGGAACCCTGAGCCTTTCATGGTTGCTGGTACACAGGCTTGAGAGGAAGAGCAGAGGGAAGCAGGCCTTTGGGGTTGTAAGTTGGTGGAGTCTGGACTTTATCCTGTGGCAGTAGTGGGCCCCGGGAGGCCTGTTACAGAAACATGACTGTAGTGGTCCTGGGAGAGGCTGGGTTGGAGGATGTCCCGTATGAGGCAGGGGAGCCCGTGAGTCAGGGAGTGTGGTCGTCTAGAGAGAGAGGGTTAGAGCTTTAGAGCTGGATTCAGGGGCCCTCCAGTTCAGCAGATCCGAGTCTAGGCATGCCTCAGAACCACCTGGGCAGCTTGTAAAAATACGGATTCCCAACCTCCCCTCCATGAGGGGGACATCTGGGGTGTGGTCCACAGATCTGTGTGTGTAATACCCAGCCTGTATGATTCTGAGGGGCAGCCAGGGGTGGGACCCACTCCTCCAGAACAGTCCTCTGGCTCTGCCTCCTGCTTGAGCACCTACTGTGTGCTGGTATCTCTGTGCTGGGCACCACAGGGAAATGTGTTTGGTGTGGAGAGCCTTACAGACAACCTAATTGGGCAGATACGTTTATAAGTAAATGATAGTGCTCAAGGCAAAATCCTGCAGGATCTAGTGGTGGGTGAGCACATCCCAGGAACATTGTCCCCTCTGAGGTTGTCACAGCCACACTAAGAGCTACTGTTTGTGGAACTCCTCTTGTTTGAGGCAGGCACTTGACATGTGCCATCTAGTTGACACCTCCCAGCCACTTTGTGAGCTTGGAACTTTGTACAGATAGAGAAACTGGAGTTCAGAGAGGTGACACAGTTTGTCCAGGGATGAGGCAAGTCTGTTATTGCCTCCTTTTGTGCAGCACTTTATAGTTTACACAGTGCTCTCTCCAACCTCATCCTTAACAGTCTTCCTGAGAAATGATGACCTCCATTTCATACCTGCAGAAATTGAGGCTCACACAGAGCAGTGCTTGTCCAGTGAGCATGGGCAGAGCTGTTCTGGATCCTAGGACTGCCTGTCTAGGAGTTGCCCTTTTCCTGTGGGAGGGAATTCATCCTGTCAGAATTGGCCCTGGAACTACAGAAGTGAACTGATATGATCCCCGCCTTCGGGAAACTTGTGGTTTAGCACAGGACGTGGGCAGCTGCACTGCAAGGGGATGGGGCGGTTGGAATGGGGGCAAACATGGCCTTGAAGGACCCAGAAGAAGGAGTGATGAGCTCTAGGGGAGAAACAGGAGACAAGAAGAAGGGCAGTTTCTGTTGAGAACAGCATGGGCAAAGGTCCAGATGTATGGAGGAGCCTAGGTTGGAGGTGTCCAGGGGTACTTATTAGGGTAGTTGAGGCCCAGAGAGGTGGGGGAGTTGATGGGGCCACATAATGAAGGGCCTAGACTGTCGAATGAGAGGCCTAAGCATTGTATGTAGGGCAGAGAGTGGGGCTTGCAAGTGCATAGGGCTGGGCTCAGTGCTTGGAGAGGAGCCCTTGCCTTCTGGTTGCTCAGCTCAGCTTGTGGTTATGTGTGGTTCGGCCTGAGGGATGAGCCAGGCTGGGGCCTGGCAGCTTTGGCTATAAGAGGTTTCTAGCCCCTGCGTTTGGCTGCTGAGTCAGAGTTCCCTGTTTCTGGGCTGTGTTCCAGCTTTGCATCCAGATGCTGCATAAAAGCGTCTCCCTCCCTCATGACTTTCTGTCCTCTCACTGTCAGGCCTTTCACCAGCTCTCAGGAACCTTTCCTGATCACATCTTGTCAAGCCCCCGGAGCCTGGTGGGCTTCAGGGTGGGGGCTGTGTGGCCAACATAGGACTGTGTGGACTTTCTCCCAAGTCCCTCCAGACCCGAGGCAGCCTAGCTGTGAGGAGACTCAGTGTTCCCTGGACTGACCCCCTGAACCCATTCATCTAGACCAGTGCTGGCCTGGCCAGGAGAACAGTGCTGTGAGCCTTCATGGGGAGCATCCTCTGCCTCTACCACATCATCATTTGGTCACACACACCTGTGAGCTCCCAGAACCACACTCCTGCCTGGTCATGTTCCCTGATTCCACAACTTCAGCACTTAGAAGTTTCTTAGAAATCATCGCCAAGTCATCATTGATCAGTGGGAGAGACTGAGGCCCACAGAGGGGAAGAGGCCTATGAGTGTCATCACTCTTGAGAGAGCTTCTCTTAATAAGATCCCGAGTCCAGACATCCCAGGAGCCAAAGGAGAGTTGTGCCTAGCATTGGGTAAGGAATGCAGTGTGAGCTCTGGGGTCAGGCCTACTCTGAATGCCAGCTCTGCCACCTCCTCCCTATGAAACCTGGAAATGCAATGAGCTTTTCTTTTCTTTCTTTCTTTCTTAATTTTTTTTTTTTTTTTTTGAGTTGGAGTCTCACTCTGTCACCCATGCTGGAGTGCAATAGTATGCTCACAGCCACCCCAGCATGACCTGCTGGGCTCAGGCGACCCTTCCACCTCAGCCTTTCAAGTAGCCGGAACTGTAGGCATGTGCTACCACGCCTGGTTAATTTTTGATTTATTGTAGAGATGAGGTCTCGCCAAGATGCCCAGGCTGGTCTCGAGCTTGTGGGCTCGGACAATCCCCTCAACTTGGCCTCCTAAAGTGCTGAGATTACAGGCTTGAGCCACCGAGGTCTCACAATTCGCTTTTCTTTTCTTTTCATTTTCTTTTTTTTTTTTTTGAGTTTGAGTCTCACTCTGTCACCCAGACTGGAGTGCAGTGGCCGCTCCCGGTCACTGCAGCCTCGACCTGCTGAGCTCTGGCGATCCTTCCGCCTCGGCCTTCCAAGTAGCTGGGACTACAGGCGCGGACTACCACACCCGACTAATTTTTGATTTATTGTGGAGATGAGGTCTCGCCAAATTGCCCAGGCGGGTCTCGAACCCGCGGGCTCAGACAATCCACTCACCTCGGCCTCCCAAAGTGCTGGGATTACAGGCTGAGCCACCGAGTCCGGCCACAATTAGCTTTTCTGAGGCTCGGTTTCTGCATCTGAAAAATGGGGATAAATAATAGTTCCTAGGGTTGCTGTGGAGAGTAAATGCAGTAACGCATGCAAAGTTTAGCACAGTGCCTGATACACAGAAAGTGGTCCTCAGGTGTTGGCTATTATTATTATGATTACTGTTATGGAGATGACATCATTATTGCTTTCCTCCATTACCTCCTTGTGGTAACTGATTGTGGGCTAGTAACATTCCTGATCAGAAAAAGGAACAGTCATGTTGTCATGCCAATCAGATGTCCCTGGACCACTTGAAACGTCCTCCTCACCCTTCACCATGAAAAGGTACATTCCACTGAGCAGCCAACTAGTAGTCCTTGACTTGAACTTCAGGGAACTGGCAATGTCAGCCCCAGTGAGATGTAAGCCAGGCGCTTTAGGGGGGAGATGGAGAGGAAAGGGGGCTGACAGTCCTGCTCTCCTACTATGGGTCAGGCACCTCTCAGCTGTGTGAAGATTACATCCCTGCCTGTCTCCTGCTGGGTTGTAAGCAGTCAGTGACTGTTGTCCAGTGGCCTTGGAGAGATAGAGATGATATGCTGTAGTAAAGAGAGCTTGCTCTGAGTCAAGCCTGGATCTGATGCCAGGTCCACTTTTTCCTATCTGTGTGATCATGGGCTCACTCATTTCCACCTCTTTGAGCCTCAGTGTCCTCCCTGTCAAATAGAGGTAATGGTGGAACTCCCTCACGGGGTTGAGGTGCGACTTCAGTGAAATAAAGCACGGAAGGTGCAGGGAAAAATGCCCAGTAGACTTTTGCTGCTGCTGTTGTATCTGTCTCACTGAGAATCTTCCTGATTCTGAGAGAGAGATTTTGTCATCCCCATTTTACAGATGAGGAAACAGGCTCAGAGAGGTGAAGTGAGTTGCCCAAGTTCCCACAGCAAGTAAGTTAACAGAGCCAGGTTTTAAACCCAGATCTGGGCCCTGAGCCCACCCTTGTTCTCTGTGCCTCTGAGATCTTCCGGGGGGCTGCAGGGTGGGGCAGGCCCCAGCTCAGCCACCTCCCATGCCCTCCTCTTGCAGGTCATCCTTTTTCAGTACTAACGCTGCCGGCACTTCCGCACCTGTCTGTGGGCGCCCCACAGCTGCCCCTCAGCCGCTGAGATCCAGTGTCCAAGCTGCGGCCAGGGATCCACTCGCCTCCGCATCCACCCCTGTCCACCATCCTGCCCACCACCAGCTTGGTCCCCCAGGCCTGGCCTTTCCCTCTCCTGCTGAGAACCAGAACCCACCAGGAGCACCACAGAATCCTCCTCTTGGAAGGCAGAACTCCCTGAAACTTGGAATCAGGGTGAAAACAACAGCCTGTTTTTTCCACTTAAACAGAAGTCATCTTCAACTTAAGCTGATTACAATAGCAAAAGGCGGAATTGAATTGTGCGACGCCAACAGCCTTCTAATTTACAGGTTTTCTTTCCTCCCTTATTGGCCTTTATTTACTACTTCCTTGGAACCATCTCTAAATTCTGAATAGCCAACAACTCCCAATGTTATCCACTCTGTTGCTTTTGTCTGGAAAACTCGACAGTGTTTGTGGGATGTCCCCAAAGGAAAGCTATGTTCTAATTTTATCATTTCCATCTGTCTGGTTATGTCAAGTTAATTCAGAAAGAGAAGAGACACTGACCAACCCTGAGAGGCCCAATAGGGCAGAGATGGAGGTCTGCCCAGACCAAGAGGCAGTGGGGTAGGTGGGGGGTGGGGGAGAAAAAGACCCCCACTGGTTTGGAAGTCAAGGAAAGGAATACGGCACACTGGACTGGGAGAGGCACTAGCCATTTTAAGGAGAGAAAAGAGAGAACTTTGGGGGAGAAGGGAGACCCTACCCCCAACTAATTATCTAGCTTATTTGCAGGAAAGATAGGAGAGATGGTATTTGATTTGTGCCATGACTCTTCTGAATGCTTGGGCATTGTGGAGTTGGGGACTCCTGTTGGCTACTTGCTGACCCCGGATAGGGATGCCTGGGCCAAGTCTTCTCTGGGGAGGAGGGGTCACTCATGGGGGGCCAGGGAACATAGTTCAACGAAATGGCAGTCAGAATGTTAACTCCAGATCTGTCTCTGAGAGATGGTACCCATTGCCTAGGTAAGTGTGCCAAGTCCAGAATTCCATCTGGCACCTCTGGGCTTCCCCACCAATGCTCTCCAGAGCCAGCCCCACCCACTTCTGAGAACAGAGGCCAGACACAGCCATGTTCACATCCATCCCATCCTGCTGCGACTCTTCCATTCCAAACAAAAGGGCTCGGGCTACACACGACCATGATTTATGTTTTCAGGGGATGCCCATTTGTCCCATGTTTATCCTGTAATTCTAGAACTACTTGGTGTCCTGATGCATTTTCCACTAGAGGTTGCTAGCAAGCATGTTTTAGCCCAACTCCTTCCTGCTGTGGTTAACCTGTCATGTTGCTTTTGGAAGGAGACTCCAGGACAGGGAAAGCAAGTTCATGGTACATACGCAGCTGTTGTCCCTGTTTTTATCCATGGCAGACATCATTTATAGATGGCAGCTCTATCTCACTGAGTCGGGATAAGGTTTCTGAATCCAAGTGCTTGGAGTTGACTTAGAATGAGAACCTATATGTCATTCTCGCTCTGGACTTTAAGGAGAGGTACAGGTGCAGCCCAAGAAGGGAACCTGCTTCCTCTCCCTTCCAAAGATGGTTTCAACTGACTAGGGGCAAAGAGAAGGCACCACTCAGAGCTCATCCAGTGGTAACTTGTGCACAACCCTGTGCTAGGCACTGACATTAACAGGAGTGACCAGGGCCTGATCCCTGGATTTGGAAAGCTCAAATTTTCCCTTGGTTTTTGCTCCTGATGATCAAAGCTCCAATGGCAACCATGTGGTAAATGGCCATCTGAGCCTGCCCAGGGTCACCCAATACCCTCTCTGCCTTGAGCCTCCTCCCAGGGTCTATTCCTTGCGTGGATCACGTGGCTGTAGCATGTTACAGTGGCAACATGTCTCCACTACCCTGTTAAGAGCAGCCTGGGAATGTTCAGGCCATCAAGACTATTTATTTAAATACAAAAGAAAAGGGGAAAACACACACGGAAAAAAATTGTAAGCACTTTTTTGTAAAATCAATGTCTGTTTTGTTACATACCTTTCATGTCGTGCTTTGTAAATGTCTTATTTGTGTAATAAAGTTAATACAAGTAGAAGTGCTGGCACTTAAATCCAGAAGATGATGGGATTCCATTTCTTTCCTGCTCTCTAGTAAAAGGCTTAGGTCCCTGGCTCTTGGAATATCAGGGCTGCTGGACAGTGTAATCCTCCTTCCTGGAAAATTGGTACCATTTTCCAGTTAGCAAATGGTGCATTGTAAAGGCATGACAGTGAGTTTCTTCTCTAAGTACTTGGTCATGCCTGCCTCTTATCTAAGCTGTGTAGGGGATCAGGCTGGTTGCTGTCCTCTCTCCACTCTCTAAACACAGGCTATCTGTTGGGCCTGGTGCTGGCTCTGCAGACTCAAGAGAGGGGTTCCACCGGGACCCTACCCTACAGGAACTCTCAGTTTGGCAAATGCTGTAAACAGACACCCCTCCATCATACTGTGGGGACTTGTGAGGGCTGGTATTTGAACTGGATTATATCAGATGAGAAGCTCACAGAATAGGTACAAAACAGGAGGATATTGGGGTAGGGCAAGGAAGGTGTTGCAGAGGAACCTCTTTGGAAGATGGGGAAGGAGTAGTAAGCCAAGTTAAGGGAATATGGGATAGGTGGCGGGGCCCCAACTTCTGCATGAGACTGGGTCTCATAGTGGTTTTGTCAGGTTCCAGAGCCACCTCATAATCTGGTGAGTGAGAGAGACCATCTTTCTGGTGGTTGTCAAATTTCTTTCAGCAGCAGAATCCTTTGTTCAAGCCAAAGCTCTGAAGTAGGAAGTGAAGCTGCCTGGTAGGTTGCAGAGCCTTCCCTGGCCCCCATGGCCCTGCACAGCAATGAGTTGCTTGTAAACCTAGGTTCGTGGTACATGTGGTCATCGACTCTGCAGGGTCCCTTTCTTTATTCTGTTTTTCTATCTCCCATCTATGACCCCATTTCTGCTCCTCCCTTCTCTACTCTTCTGATCCGGTTTACAAATGCTAACTTAGATGTGTATCTGAAAATATGTTTTGTTATGTGCTTTCTCACATGAATGTACCTTCTGTTTTCAAAAGAGTTTGGAAACCAACAGAGGAACTCAACCCTGTTCTTCTACCAAGGTGATAAGCCTCGGGGAGAGAGGTCATTGTCCCAAGTGTCCTCTGTGGTGCAGCTAAGAGTGGATGGAGGCCTCCTTCTGGCTTCTGGCTCTGCCCCAGCATGACACTTTTGGGCCCCAAGTTTGAGGTCCAGTTTCTTCCCCCGCTGCAGGAGCCCTCCCAAGGGAGAGCCCTTCCAAGCCTGACTCCCTGTCCTGTCTGGCAGCTTTGGTGAGCCAGAAGACAAAGCACAGGGCCTGTAGGACCTAGCAACCTCTATGGAAGGACAGTTATGCAAAGATTCAGGAACTTGTTTCTGCCTTGGCCTCGTCCTCTGGTTTTCAGCTGACAGATGTGACCTCTAATATGAGTTTGAGGAATGACTATATGCACAGCTTACAAATCATTCTTTAAAGCAAACACATACTGAATGTCTGCCAAGCACCAGGTTTTTTACTTGTATTATCTCATTTAACCACAGAGCTACTCAATTGTTCTGAGAAATTATTATAATCGTTTTTTGAATGATGCCAAAGCCACATTCTTTCTATGGCACCATGCTGATTCTGTGCTTAGGGTGTGAGGTTCAAAGTAGGCAGCCGTGAAGAGGGAGAGGCAGTTCTGAGGAATCATTCTTGGGCCTATGGGAAGTTACCAGCTGTGAGTCTGGGCACAGTGATCAGGTCCTACTGCCCTCTGAGCCCAAGCAAGGCACTCTGTGTCTCTGAACCTCAGATTCCCCATCTACAATAGGTGATGCTCAGCCCTCCCTTGCAAAGCTGTTATAGGAAGCTGAGATTATGCACACACACTCCCTGTACCCTTAGTGGCTCTTTCAGTTATATCTCTTGCTATAAGGTGATGTTTCTCAAACTTCCATATGCATAAGAAATACCCGGGAATGCACATTGCTAGGCCTCATTCTCTGAGATTCTGATTAGCAGGTCTAGATTGGGGCCTGGGAATGTCGGTAGTTCATGATTTTGCCCAGGTCAAATGAAGATGCCCCTGAGAAACAGTCTTCTAAGGGAAAGAAGGGTCACTGCAGAAAGCCTTTATTCCTGAATTGAAAGTCAGGTTCTAAGACTACAGCCTGCCCTCTGGGCCAGCCGGTGCCAGGAGGACAGATGGAAATCTCTGGTGAAGGCAGCCGCGGAACTCACAGCTTGGGCCTGTGAGTCCCGATCTCATCCCAGCCCTTCCGACAGGTACGGATGATCCACTCATGCTCATCATCATCTGCAAGGAAAGAGGAAGAACTGGTCATGCTTGGCGCTCGATGGGCCCTTCCCTGTCCTGGGAGTCCCCCAGGCGGGGCCTTGGGACTGGAGTGTATTCCAGCACAGGTGATGGTCTGTTGGTGGCCAGTCTGTTTCGCTCTGTGTGGGGAGAAACAGACCTTTCATTTAACTCTAATCCCTCGGAGTGCTGGTCTTGGGAAGTTGAGCACAGATGCATTTATGGCTTGTGGGTGCTGCTGATGGAGGCACACAGGTCATCTGGCCTCCCTGAGCCGGACAGATCCCCACGGGCAGTCAGAGCAGCAGGCTCACGCTAGGACACTTGCCTGGCACAATGGCCTGCATACAGCAGCCCCAGGACAGAGGTCCAAGCCTTGTTGGTACTGCTAGGAGACCCGGTCTTCCTGTTTTCGTTTCCTTTCTGGGCTCTCCATTCTTGATCCTTCAAAGAACCTGTGGTTTGCTCAGGGCCGACACCACCTGTTTACTCAAGTCCTTTCAGTGGGGAATGGGGAGGAGGGTGACAAGAGTTGCTAATGTGCCCTGAAGGCCCTAACACAGTGTCTGCCTTAGCTTAATCCTGGAGATCACCCAATGGGTGAGTCTTCCCCACCATTTTTTTTTAGTATTAATTTTTTATTTTAAAGATGTGGGGTATAATTCAGGGTTAGGTATGCAAATGTTCATTATGCAGGTACCCTTGTCTTCCCCACCATTTTACAGATGAACAAACAGAGCCTCAGAGAGATTGAGGCACTTGTCCACAGCCACCGGGCCAGTAAGTGGGGAAGCCCAGAATCTGAACCTAGGATTGTCCAACTACAAAGCCTGTGCTGTTTTTTAAACCTCAAATACAGAGAGTTGAATGAAGCACATTCTTCAGTCCAAAGCACACCACCATCATCTCTCTGTACAAGACCCCTCTGCAGATTTTCTTTGTTTTTATTTGTCCTTCTTTCTTCTCCAAACCCACACCCGGCCTCTCCCCAACACAACAGGGACCTACTCCAATGGTGGGATATATACCCTAAAAATGCATGTTGCTCTATAAAATATGTGCTGTTGTTTTGTGTACAATGTGTTTTTAATTTACATAAATGGCATTGTGCTGTGATTTCACTGTGTCTTAGTTTTTTCACTCAAGAGCTATTCTTATTGCTACATGTACATCTAGTTCTTTGCTTCTTACTGCTGCCTAATATTCCATGGTGGGCTGCCTGCACATTTTACCTCTGTCCTCCCAGTGGTGGATGCGGAGGTCACCTGCAACTCCCTGCTACCAAGAACAACACTGGGACAAGTGTTCTTGGGCACATCCCTTCATGGATACACAGAAGAATTTATCTGAGGTTATAGTCCTTCCAGGAGGAGGGGCACCTAGACCTGTGTCCTCACCGCCTCCCAGCTACCCTTGCTCTTTTTGCACCACATTGTCTACCTGCCTTCTTGCCTCTCCACCTTCATTCCTCCCTTCCCTCTGCCAGCCCCTGCCCTCACCAGTTTTCCTCAGGGCTATAGCACTGGAGGAGGTCTTGCCTCCTCTCCTTATTCAGTGCCTAGCCCGGTGCTTCCTGCCTAAAAGACAGGAGGATGGGACTGCTTGGGTGACAAGTGGCAGAAGTTGGGGAACAAGGGACGACTTGAGAGCTGGAATGCAGAGGGCCAGTGGAAAGCCTGCCCTCTAAGTCAGATCCCCTGCCAGGCATGCCTTCCTCTTCTGTGCAAAGCACCAGACTCAGGGGCAGGGAGATAGCAGCTCATCGACAGCCTACTGTGTGTTTGGTGCTTTACAGATGCTGCATCTCACTGGATCTTTGTAATGGCCCTGTAGGGTAGGGGAGATCATCCCCATTTAACAGAGGATGAGCCTTGTCCTTGGTCCATAGCAGGTGGAATTCAAACCCAGGTTTATCGGTCTCCGCAGCTAACTTCTCACACCAGGGCAGATGTGAGCATGCCAAGAGCCCAGGCTGTACCATAACTAACTACCTCTCCACTATTTCTTTATGGATGTCCTAAGGCTTGCTGCCTGGGATGCTCTGGCAAGCAGCCAGTGGGCCTCAGTCTCCCCCAGGGAGGTTGCCCGGCAGTCCCTGCTGTGGCTGGGAAACCTAGGGGTGGGGAGAACATCGGTGATGTGTCAGCACACAAGGAGTTAAGCGCTGGTGGAGCCCACTTTTGCCACACTGTGAGCAGCCTGGTTGATAATTACAGTTCTGAAGTCTCCAGGCTATTCGAATCAGTGCAGCTGCAACCTCTTCAGCGGTAACCCCTGAAACCAGACAAACTGGGTTTATTGTGCTGAACCAGTCCTTAGGCCCCTCCCTGATCGTTAAAAATTGACAGCAATGGACTTAACAGCCCTCTTCACTACCCCTTTCACTCTCTACCTGGCTGCACAGCCACCAATTTGAATCACAGATGCCTCCCCTCCCAGCAGCTGCTCACCAACCCTCCCTCCACCTCCCCTGCGCCTCTCTGAGGCTCCCCTGGCCCTGCCATGTCAGGGTGAGGCTGCCGAAGCACATTTCATCAATATTTAAAATGGAATTAAACCTGCAGCTTTGATTAATGCCTCCCAGATCCTGGGAGTTATGATTACTATTTTGCAAATTGCGATTGTTGGAATATGTTAATATGATTGTCTGAGAACATCTTCACCTTCTCAGATAATTTTCCCCCTTTTTGGCAGGAGAGGAGGGGGAGAGGAGAAGAAAAAGATGAGAAAAAAAAACACCCTACAAACTCTTTAATCAATTGTAAATTATTGCCTAGCCACAATTGCCAGTGGTACAGAGGCAAAGGACAAGATTTCTGGTTTGGTGCATTTATCTTAAAAAAATTCCTCTGTTGGTTTAATAATTCCACTCTGGAACACTATTTTAAGGAAATAATCTATTTGTCTGAGAACTAGTTTGAATCAAGAAAAAGAAAAATGACCAGTATTTCTAGAAACAGGGGCATGATTACTTTGTTGTATATTCATTCGTTTAACAAATAATTTTTAAACACCAACTATGTGCCAGACATCGTGCTAGGTTTAGGGGGGTGGACACTATAAACAATGTGAGGGGATATTTAGCAGCTATTGAAAATAATAGTTATAAAGTTTGTATAGCAACATAGGGAAAATGTTTTTGATATGATAATAAGAAAAATGCGGGAAGAGGCAAGAAATAAAGCTACATAGACAGTATATTCATCACAGAACTTGTGCAGAAAAAAGATAATAAATTGGAATGTGAATAATGGCCAGTTCCTGAGCAGTGGGACTGGAGAATTTCTTCTTTCTGCTTTTAGTATTTCCCAAATCTTTTTCATTAATATGTGTTGGCAACAGAAAATATTAAAATAATTATGGTTTTTTTCATAATGTTTAATGTCTTGGCAATTTCAGGCATTTTGTTAATTGAAATAAAATATTTCTAGGTTCCTAGAAATGCCAACAGGGTTCTTGAACTTCTAAAAAGTAAAAAGGCCTAAAAATATTGGTTAAAATGTACAAAAATCAGAGCATAGACAAATGTCCTGTAAAGAAGAATTCCAAACAATGTATGTACTCTGCTTTTAAAGAATTGGAGCAAAATTTCCCACTTCTTAAGTGTGGCTATGTGTAGTGACTTTCTTCCAAAGAGTAAAGTAGGGAAAGGGAATTTTTTTTTTTTTAAAGAGTAACTTTCAGTGGAGAAGCCTGACAAACACTCCTTCAGTCAGGTGATCAAGGTTAATAGCAACACTGGTAAGTCATATTGATAGTCTGTATCCTTGATACGATGAGATGAAACTGGTACCTCTGTGATCTTCTCCAAACCTACAACCCCAGTCTAATCATGAGAAAAGCATCAAATTCCAATCAAGGAGCATCCTACAAAATACCTGTCCAGTATTCCTCAAAACTGTCATCAAACACAAGGAAAGTCTGAGCAACTGCCACACCCAAGTGGAGCTTAAGGAGATGTAACTAAACATCATTCGAGGTCCCACATGGGCGTCTGGAACAGAAAATGAATATCAGGGAAAGACTGAGGAAATCTGTATAAAGTATGGGCTTTAATTAATAATAAAATAATTGTGACAGAGGTACCATGCAATGTAAGATGTTAATAATAGGGGAAGCTGGGTATGGGCTATGTTGAGAACTCAGTACTACTCTCTGCAATAATTTTGTAAAACTAACTTATCCAAAATAAAAGGGTTTTTAAAAATGCATGAAAATCCAGTGTGCCTAAAAGGCAAGAATGTCATGTTTTCCGAGAGAAACAGACATCCCTCCACACTACCAGCCACCCTAGATGAAGTCATTCACTCTTTTTTTCTCCATATATATGGGCCCCATATATAATCACAGTTTTGGAATCTGTGCTTATCTCATATTTTCTTACATAATGTTTTTCTCTCTCATGAGACTGTAAGCTCTCAGCACAGGGACCGTGTCTGCTTTGTTGACCACGGAACCAGCATATAGAAGATGCTTAATACACACTTCTCCAGATAAAGTCTGGAATAAGCTTTTTTCATTCTGACTTGCCACAGTTGCCATCAACAAATATTCCCTGCGCATCCCCTTCTTGGCATCCGGGTCTCAAGTCAGATGTCACCTCCTCAGTGACCCTAATCTATCTACCTCCACTCCCAGTCACTCACTCCATCTTGTCTTCATAGCCTATGCTGCTCCCTGAAATTGTCTTGTTTATGTACATGTTGGCTGTCTCCCCATCCAGACTGTAAGCTCTACTGAGAGCAGGATCCTTGCCTTCTTTCTCACTATGGTATCCCAGTGCTCAGAAGAGTGTGGCACATAGTAGGTGCTCAGTCAATACCTGCAGAATCAATGAATGAATCAGCAAGCTCATTCCGGTGGCTAGTCCTGTGCCTAGTGCTGGGGACAGAGGAACTGAGACTCAGCAGCGAGCTCTGCCAAGATCCAGGCACACTTCAGTTTTAGGTCTGTCTACCCTTGGGGCAGAAGGATGTCTTCATTCTGGTTCTGAAGCTTTG